AAGTAACAATCGATTATAATTAAACGCTGAGGCGTTAACCGCATGAGGAAACGATCGGCGGATTGCCTCACAAACAAGCGAAGTAGATCAGCATTCACGGAAAGCAGACGTTGCTAACCTTGATACTGATCTGTATAAAAGAAGGTGACTCGATCGTCACCACGGGTTTTTAAGTTTGATCTAGGCACGAGCTGCACGTCGGTATCGCGAACTCCGAGTTCGTATCTTACGCGATCGTAACGATTGTGAGGAAGTCGTTAAATAAAGTGTACGCGAGTGCTAAGTGAATAAAGATATTTTATTTCTCATTGAACATCGTTCAATAATTATCTCCCTTGCATCAACCCCCTTGGCCCTACACGACGGATCCCGAATCCTGCGTTGGCCCGCGACGAGATCTTTGAGTCACGGGCACGGCGTAACAGTGTTTTGAAAAGCTCTTGACACCAGCTATTAGATTTTGGAATCAAAAATAGGGGTTTCCATTTTAAAAAATAACTCTGACCTTCAAATAACCTTGAAAATCAACTGCGAGGTCAAAGTCAAGGTCACCATCAGATAGATCCCTCGAAATCATACAAATTTCGTCTGAGCCATTTTTTTGTACAAGCACATCCCTACGTTTTAAAAGAGTGGGACGGGTGGTCTGAAACACCCGGTATGTAATAAAATTGATTGGTTTTTTCTGCAAAATGACGTTTCATTCATTTTGTTCTGTTTATTTATTGTAAAGTTACAGCAATTTACTTTAGATATCTTTCCAACCTGTACAATACAGGATGTCCCATTTTAATTGACCATCCCTGTTAATTTCGCAGGAATGGTCAGATAAACAAATATTCTGTACAAAAGTTGTTGGGTTTGGAGGGAGACATCCGATGGTGACATTAGTTTAACCTAAGGTGTACATACCAAGGTCATATGGAGATCAACTTTGTTTTTTTAAATGGGACACCCTATTTTTGATTCCAGAATCTAATAGCTGGTGTCAAGAGCTTTTCAAAACACTATAATGAAGTTATTTTTCATTAAGTACTTTTCGAGTTATGAGACTTGTAAGTTACAGTATTTTGACATAAAATACAAAATATCTTGTAAAACATTCAGTTTTCGGGAATCTTATTTTAATACTTTTATGCACAAAATAATGAGACGAATCAATTGGTATAAAGAAAACACATAATTGCTTTTAAAAAAAAGTATGCAGCTGCATGTTGCAAATTACATATTTTTTCTGTCACTATACGTCTCGTCCTTTGATGATTTAGGCAGCATGTGTCTAAAAAATTTTAAAACTGAATAAATTGCTAAAAGTTCACGATCATATGTGCTATATTTTTGCGTTTCGGATAGTTTCTTCGAGAAAAATTCTAGTGATTTCCATTCTCCGGCTTGATATTGTTCGAGTACAGTTCTCATTGCGTTGCTCGACGTGTCAGGGTGAAGTCCCATGGAGTCAACGTACGGTGTACCGGCGTATGGTGTAAAGGAATTATCACAGTCTTTATACCCGTTTTCGTTATGCCAGCACAAACATCGGCTGTCCCATGGAACGTATTTACGCGGCGTAAATATTAATAAGCTAATCACAATGACTTTTTACAAAGCTTATTTTCAAAATGGATACTCAAGGGATCTTGTGATTGACTTATTGATCATTTACGCCGGCATAAATACGTTCTATTGGACAGCCGATGAAATTTTCAGCGTGACGTTTTAATACATACATTCATACATGAAGTCAAAACAAATACTTTTCACAACTGTATATACAGGGTGTTTCGTAAATACCTAACACTGAGTACGCTATGAGATTCCTTGTAAAAAAGTGAGTAATAAAAGTTCTTACAAAAAAGTTGAAACACCAATAGTTTTTAAATGGTGAGCTGTTGAAGTTGACCAATTACGGAGCGGAACTATCGGGCGC